CAGCAGGAAAGGGTCTTTGGAAAACTTTTCCCTGAATAAACTGCCTTGGTCTTAGATGTTACTGTTTTTAATTTTTCATTAATATTCAACGCTTACAGCCAAATAGATTTTATAGGTGAGTTGTCTGACTTTGAGTCTGTCTCCTCGTCTTCGAAATGGCACCAACAGTGCCTGCCTTTTGGGGATGAGGGCCCGACGCTCTGTCTGCCTCCGCATCTCTGTATGCGGCCATCAGCGAGGAGGGAACGGGCGTAGCCAGCATGGGCCAGGCCGGCAGGTACCAGGGCTCTCCTGCCTGGTGCCCTAGCACAGGGCCTAGCAGAGCTTGGTACTTGGTCATTCTCACTACTGACTGGCTGACTGGTTCATTCCACAGAGATGTGTGAACTGTCAGCACCAAGGTCACGGGGAAGGAGCTGAGTCTTAGGTTGTTCGTTCACAGGAAGTGGTGTTTATGGTAATGGTTCATCACTCGTGTCAGTTATCTACTGCTGGGAGACGAATTACCCCCGAATGTAGTGACTTTGTATAAAACCGAAGAACTTTTAGAAAAATTGTAAGAGAAAATCTTCAGGATCTGGGGCTAATCTAGGGGTAGGCGTAGTGCTTAGACTTGATGCCCAAAGCAGGATCCATTAAAGGCAGAGTTGGTAAGTTGAACTTCAGCGTTCTTCAACGCACCCGGGGGGAGGTGCGTACGGATTCATCCCCATTTACAGATGAAGGAGCAGTAGTGGGGAGAGGGTAAGTGAGTCGCTAGGCGAGGCCAAGGTCAAGGCCCGGCGGCTCCGGAGCTGTGTCCGCCTCTGTCCCTGCAGCCACGTGGAGCCGAAACAAGCAGCCACAGGTCGGTGGGGCTGGAATGCTTGGTGGTTCTGCATAACATCTGGTGTCTTCCTCCTGTTACTGGCGGTACAGGTGGCCTTGGCTGGCTCATAACCAAGCTGAGTCATAACCAAGCTCATAACCAAGGAGAGTCGTGTGGTGATAATGATAACTTACCGTTATGCTCCCTTTTTCTGGTCTGAAAGTCTTCATTTTCTTGCTTCTAGATGGTAAAAGCAATCCAGGTTCTGCGTATTCATCTTCTTGAGCTGGAAAAGGTTAATGAACTCTGCAAAGATTTCTGCAGTCGCTATATTGCTTGTCTAAAAACGAAAATGAACAGTGAAACTCTCCTGAGTGGGGAACCTGGCAGCCCGTACTCCCCTGTCCAGTCCCAGGTATTTATGGCGGGCCCTGTGCTCCTGCTTGGTCCCTGCAGCGTCGGCAAGGGTTAAACGTGCTGATGTCTGAGGCCGCAGCCCTTTCAGGATTGTGGGGCTGTCCTCGGCTCTCCTGCTCTGAGGATCCTCTGGGTCTCTGAACGTGTGGCCTGTGCCGGGAATGTGTTCCCTCAGGCCAGAAAGAGAGCCCACCTGGGCTTCCTGCCGTGAAAAAGGGAGGCTTCACTCTGTGTCCTGGACCCTGGAGCCCATGTTTCTGGAGGCCAGAGTACCAGTCATTTCTTTCTAATTCTTTTTTTTTTTTTAATGAATTTTTAAGATTGTGGTAAAACACAAATAACACAAAACTTACCATTTTAACCATTTTAAAGTGCACAGCTCAGTGGCATTAAGCACATTCACATTGTTGTGCAACCATTACCACCGTCCTTTCCAGAACTTTCTCACCTTCCCAACCTGAGACCCTGTCCCCCTGCAACACTGACTCCTCGCTCTCCCTCCCCACAGCCCCTGGCCCCCACTATCCTGCTTTCTGTCTCTCTGACCTTGACTAATCTCGGTACCTTATGTAAGGGCAGTCATACCATGTCTGTCCCTTTGTGTTTGGCTTATTTTACTTAGCGTAATGTCCTCAAGTTCATCCATGTTGAAGCACTGAGATATTTAGCCATTCTGAAGGGGTGCAGTGACATTTCACTGTGGTTGTAATTCGCATTTCCCTGATGGCCAATGGTGTTGACCATCTTTTCATGTGCTTATTTCCCATCTGTGTATCCTCTTTGGTAGAATGTCTGCTCGTGTCTTTTGTCCATTTTCTAATTGGATTTTTAAAAATGGTTGACCTTTGAGAGTACTCTAGATGCAAGTCCTCCATTGGATATATGGTTTGCCAGTATTTTCTCCAAGTCTGTAGCGTATCTTTCCATCCTCTTAACAGGATCTTTTGCAGAGCAAACCTTTTTCATTTTGATAAAATCCCATTTATCAGATCTCCTTTTATGAGTCATACTTTCAGTGTCAAGTCGAAGAACTCTGCCTAGCCCTGGGTCCCAAAGATTTTTCTCTTATTTTTTTCCTAAAAATTTTATATTTTACATTTAAATCCATGGCCCATTTTCAGGTTTGGTTTTTTTTGCCTATGTTCGTCCATTTGCTCCAGCACCATTTGTTGAAAGGGCTGTCCTTCCTCCGTGGAATTGCCTTTGCACTGTTGTCGAAAACTAGTTGGTCGTATTTGTAGGCCCTGTTGCTATGTTCTCTGTTCTGTCCCACTGATCTGTGTATCTAGACCGTATAGTCTTGATTCCTGTGGCTATATAAGTCTCAGAATTGGGTAGACCGATTCCTCCTACTTTATTATTTTTCAAGATTATTTTAGATATTCTAGTTCCTTAGTCTTTCCACATGAATTTTAGAATAATCTTGTCTATATCTGCAAAAAAATGTTACTGAGGTTTTGACAGGAGTTGCGTTAAACCTGTGTGTCATCTTGGGGAGAGTTGACACCTTTACTATGTTGACTCTCCCAGCCCACAGTCGCGGCGCTCTCTCCACTAATTCACTCTTGTGTGATTTCTTTCATCAGTGTTTTCTCGCTTTTGACATAAAATTCCTGCACACGTGGTTTTAGAATTATACCTAAGTATTTCACTCTTTTGCACAATCGTAAATTTATTATATTTTTAACTTCAGAGTCCATGCCAATATGTAGGAATCCAGTTGATTTTTGTATCTTTATCTTGTATCCTGGGACCTGGCTGCACTTCCTTATTAGTCCGAGGAGATCCTTTTTGTAGATTCTTTAGGATTTTCTACCTGTTTAGTCTTGTCATCTGCAGATAGGGACAGTTCTGTTTTGTCCCTTCTGATCTGTACACTTTGTTTCCTTTTCCTGCCTTACTGCTCCGGCTGACACGTCCAGGACTATCTGGAATGGGATTCAGGGGACATCTTTGCCTTCTTCCCAGTGTCGGGGGGATGGTGGTAGGTTTGTGTTTTTTTTCTAGATGCTCTTCATCAGGTTGAGGAAGTTCCCTTCTATTCCTGTTTTTCTGAGAGTTTTTATTCTGCTGAATTTTGACCAATGCTTTCCTGCATAGACTGATATGTGGTTTCTCTTCTTTCATCTATTAATGTGGTAGATTTACATTACTTGATTTTTTTGGAATATTGAGCAAGCTTTGCATTCCTGAAGTAAACTCCACTTGGCCCTGGCACGTGATTCTTTTTGTCTAGATTCCTGAATTTTGTTAAGCATTTTTGTGTCTATATTGAGGGATATTGGTCTGTAGCTATCTGTTTTGGAACAGTCTTTGGCTAGGTTTGGTATCAGGACAGTATAAGCTTCATAAAATGAATTGGAGGATGTTCCCTCCTCTTCTGTTTTCTGGATTGGTTAATTGTGTTAATTCTTCTTTAAATGCTTGGTAGAATTCTCCAGTGACACTACCTAGACCTGGAGATCTCTTTTTTGGAAGTTTTAAAATGACTAATTCAGTTTCCTTATTACTTATAGGGCTATTCACATTATCTGTTTCAGGTTGGATTTTGTCGAAGACGTCAAATTTATGTGTGTCGAGTTGTTTACAGTAGTATTCCGTTTTCATCTTTTGATATCTTCAGGGTCTGTAGTGATCTCCCCTGTTTCATTCCAGATGTCGGTAATTTGTTTTTTTCTCTTTTTTTCTGTCCATCTTACTAGAGGTTTGTCGCTGTATTGATCTTTGCCAAGAACCAGCTCCTATTTCATTGATATTTCTGTTTTTCTATTTTCAGTTTCATTGATTTCTGCTTTAATCTGTATTATTTCCTTCCTTCTGCTTGCTCTGGTTTCATTTTGCTCTGTTTCTAGGTTCTTGATGTGGGAGCTTAGAATACTAATTTGGATTTGCCCAATTTTTATTCTGACCAAGTTTATATAGCAAACTTCACATAGACCTACCAAAGCTTATACGTTCAAATGGATGTGATAGCCCACAGAGTAATTGTCTTTGAAGGATATCTACTTAGGCTATTTAACCGCTCAAATATCTGGGTGCCTGCCATGTGCCAGACCCTGTGCTGGATGCCAGGTGCAGAGATCCGCCCCTCGCCAACTCCCAGTCCAGCCATCACAGGAAATGGATAAATTGGCCCATTTGGATCTGACTTCAGATGGGTAGATTCTCCGACATGGTGTTTACGGACATTTGCATGGAGCCTGCAGTAGGCCAGGCCCAGACCCAGCACCCCAGAGACGTGGACACTGGGGGCTCCGCTGTGCTCTGTGCTGTGGGAAGGCAGGTACAGGCTGTGCCCCCGGGGGTGACTCCCCAGCCTGTGGCATCATCTTTTGAATAGCTCATCCTGTCCAGGAGGCTTTGGTTCTTGGAAAACCCTGAGCCAAGTTGAATGGAGGTGTGTGACTCGATCAGGTAATTTTAGTCTTCCTAGTTATACCCCCAGGGCTGTAGGGTGTGTTTAGTATGCTGATGAGGTGAAAGATAATCTTTTGGAAGCTAAGTTGAAACTGATGTCTCAGTATTGATCGTATCATATTTAACATTCAGTCAGTCTGGCATCTCTTGCTTCCAGATACGTCTGTAGCGCACGCCTTACGAAGGCTTGTCCTCTGATGATGCTCTTTGCCTCAAGCGTCTTTCCTTCACTCATGATGCCATTATGCCACGTGTTTTGGAGTTTTAAACATGGGTTTTCTGTTTTCTGATAACATAACCTGTTCGCTGTGTGTTTATGACTTACAGCAGATTCAAAGTGCCATCACAGGCACTCTCAGCCCCCAAGGAATCGTGGTGCCAGCATCCGCTCTGCAACAGGGGAACGTCACCATGGCAACAGTGGCAGGTATGACGAGAGGAAAAGGGACACTTTCCTTGAGCTTTTGCAGAAAGAAGTCCTTTATATTAGAACAAAGAAGTGCATAAACATGGTTTCTAATTAACGCCAGTTCCCGATACAGGAGCGTCAATGTCTAGAGCTCTGTGATTGCCTGGTTCTTGTTCATTCTCAGTAACAAATATTTTATACAAATTGTGTTTCCCTCTCAAAAAATATTGGCAGGAAAGGTTTTATATGGGAGTTGAAAATATATAGCAAAAACCAACAGAAATTTTCAAATGACATAGTTTTTAATTGTGCTCTTAGCAGCACCTGGAAAATCTTAAGTAGTGTCATAAATCGATGATAAGCAAATGAAAATGCAGCCTTAGTGTTAGTATTACTTGTTTTGGATGCACCAGGGCACTCCAGAATCTGTCCTCTTCCTGTGATGGTTCTTCTTATACGTTGCACATACAGAACCATCATGAAAATGGAACGGGCACAGAGGGAGGGGGAGAAATTGGACTAAAACCCTCCACATAATCACACAAAGGGAAACCTCCGCAGGAATATGAAAGCACGTTGGATGAAAAAAATAACTAGAATAAAAATATTTGTGATCTAACACCTTTGGGCAAGTCCTTTAATACGTGCCAGGAAATGGAGGCGAGCAAAGGAGGGGACTCACACACTGCCCCCCAGCCGCCCCGCCTGTGCTGTCTCATGAGGAGCCATGGCTTACGCGCCCCGCCCCGCCGCCGAAGTGAAGAGTCAACTAGCAAAGTGCTGTTGACCGTTCGAAATGATTTTCAGAGCAATCGTTGGGACTGGAGAGTGATTCAGCTTTTCGTGTTCCTTTCTAGGGGGCACAGTCTATCAGCCGGTCACCGTCGTCACTCCCCAAGGCCAGGTAGTGACACAGGCGCTGTCGCCCGGCACGATCCGGATCCAGAACTCCCAGGTCCGTGAGCTGTGGCCCCGCGGGCTGCTTGGGGGCGTGTTAGCACAGGTGCGGGGGCACAGGCGGCCCGGGCTCCAGCCGTCCCCTCAGCGTGACGGCATTCGGGCAGAGTCTCCAGTTAACCTGAATGTCGGTGTCGTGCGTCTTCCTCACGGTTCGTCTTCCACATTGTTGCCGAGTTCAGAGAAGCCTAAGGAAGGAGGAAAAGGTCCCCCAGCGTCCCTCCCCGCGAGGGGCCACTGCTGTCCCGTCTAACGTGGGGCTGTGTGGTGGTCTCCACTTCAGTAGGGCGGAGGCTGTGTAGACGCACCCTGCCCGGACCCCCGGAAGTTCACCGCGAGCCAGGCCTCCAGCTGAGGGGGTGGGCTTGGGCCGGCAGAAGTGCCAGCGCTGGCACTGCCATGATGTGCCCCAACCTGGGGGCCGTCTTACCCTCCCTGTGCCTTTGTGGTAACGTGAGACCAGTCCCCTCTACGTTCTAGGGATATACACACACATTTTTTAAAGTTTTTACACTTAGCTAGGTTTAAGTCAGAAGCAGTGTTTTCGCCACCAGCTCTTATTTAAGACCATTGATTCATTCTTTATGTTACAGCTCTTTGTCTCTGGCCTCTGTACAGACGCTTTGTGCATCCTCGTTAACCACTTGGAGGCCCCGCCTTGGGGACGTCAGTGTTTTCTTAAATCAGAAGCAGGTGTGAGAGGGCCTGGGGCAGGGGCCGCCTGGGCACACCTGAGGCCAGGCATGAGGTGGCCCCCAGGCCCAGCCACCCAGCGCCGGCCCGCCATCCCCGGCCAGCCCGCCGTGCCTGAAGTTTTCCATTTACAGTGGCTGGGAACAGAAAGCTGGTTTTCAGAGCATTTCCTGGCCTCACAGTGAACTGTTTTTGGCGGAAGGAAACACTGTGAAGTCCATGCTTACTTGTACAGTGGAGGCTCATTCGTTCTGCTGTTTAAGGAAGAATTTCACCGAGTTTACATAGCAGACGTACAGTTTGGGTCACGTCCGCGGAGCCCCTGCTCCCTGAGGCTGCTGGCCAGGAGCTGCCTCTGCTCTGGTCCTCGGTGACCCCGCAGCCCACCCTGCACTTGTCCCCTCCCCATCACAGCCCCGGCACCTGTCCCTTGCAGGGCGGCAGGGCTGGGGAGCTGGAGAGACAAGCCCCGCGCGGGGCGGGCGGGGGGTTTCACGGAAGAGTAAATAGACCGGCTGGGGCCTTCTGTGACCAGGGAGCCCACGCGTGTAGGTACGTGATCCTGCAGAGCTGTTGTGGTCACTCTGGGCGTTTTTCCTTCTCATTTGGCTAACGTCTGGGTTCTTGCTGGGCTGCAGGGTAGTTAGGGTGAGTCCCTCAGCAGTGACGGCTTCTGTGTTCTAGAAACTGGAGGTCAAGAAAGCGCGTGGTTGTCTCTGACGGCGCACGGCGGTGGCCGGCCCCCTCCCCACGCCGGGCGCGTTGGCCACGGGGGCGTTTTCTGACCTGGCGCCGGTCACACGGAGGAGCCGGACGCTC